ACTGATAAATAATTTGTATGTTTTCGATGTGTTTGATTTTGTTGCAGTGCTTCGTATGTTTACAGATACGCATTTCTCTTTTAAGATTCTCCATTTCATACAAGAAAATACTTCAGGAAATCAAACTGAATGATTGATTGAATGTCAGAAGTATTTTTCCACTCTATTAGATTTGTCTATGTAATTCCTGTAAACACAAAGTAAACTGCTATTTTTCGTAAATGATAAATAAAATATTAAGAGTTGATAGTATACTTGGAAGAAAAGCTAGAAATTTTTCCAAGTTCAATTGAAATGCGTGTGGATTAGTTCCCTCGACTGTAGGGAGGGTCATATGAAAAAAAAATGGATTGTGTGTGTGTGCGTGTTTGTGACAGGGTCAAAAGAACATCGGGGTCAAAAAAACATCCGATCAATTATATGCTTTAAAGGTTCACAAAAGTAAATCGAGGTCGAGGAATCCGAATCTGAAGTTAGTTTCTCAAAGTTTTGAATAGATCTTTTTGAGTTCATGGGAAAACGTTTTTTGGAGAAATAATTTTTCTCCGAGTATAGAAAGAGTTATATGAAATAAAATAAATTTTTGTCTGTTATGGTCCGAGTCAAACGTGAGGCGCGAAAAAAATACCATGACGAGGTGTATAATGTTCGCACTTTTAATATTGGGCTTTTCACCAGTTCGATTTTTCAAACTAAAAATTCAGTCAGTCCGAGGTATATGATAAGTTCTTCCTTAATCAGCTGTTTCATAACTAGATTTTCATGGATGAGTCTTGTTTGTTCTTACCATTGAATGGTTTTAGGCTCTTTATCAACTAACTGTACGAGAGACAAGTTAATACACTATTGAAAGTGGTACCGTTCGACATTAATAACAGAGTTTCTTTCGTGTGTTTAAATCCACCGATTGAGGAAATATTTGCATGGATAGGTGTAGGTCTAAAACTAGGACCTGGCATTAACATGTCATATGCTATCATTGCTATTGTGCAAAAAATGATATTTTTAACCTTGTATTTTTTCAGGAATTTTGATATATGCAATGTCTAGCTTCTGTTATTCAAAGAAAATTATTTGAAAAGATATATGTGAATGATGTTCTAGCTCTTGTATTAAGTGGACAATAAGAAGCTATTGCTCAAGTGTATTTATATAAAAGGAGGACTTAGTCTTGGCTGGTGATCCGAAAAGGCGCCATCTCACTACTAATCGTTCACATTTCAAGCATACTGCAGACTGACGTCATAAAAGATGTGGGTATCGGCTATATATTTTGAAGAATAGTGCACTAAGATTTCCCTAACGAGAACCTCAAAGAAAAGTCTGATTTTCCAGCTGTACAGTCAATTTTAGGAAATTAAAAATAATTCATGAGAAAACTCCTGTTCGAAAATTCTTGGCAATAAATTTAATGCTTCAGATATAAAGGATTTTTGAAATAAGTTAATCCTGGACAATCTGAAATTAGAATAGAGAGGGATAGTAGTACTATAAAATAATGAGTTTAGACTTGGCAGCAATTAGCCGCAAGTGGCGCTCCGAAGAGGCGTCGACGAGCGACTAGCTGCTACAGTGAATTATCATCAGAAGTGTCGCTTCGAAATATTGAGATTTATTTAATAAACACCAATAGTAGAGGTCTAATTGGTTTGAGCAAGGAATGTCACACTCAAAAGTCTGAAAAATTATGTCACGTCAAGGATGAGAAACGATTTTTGTATCTGAACACAATAGCTGAATAAGTCATCAGATGAAAAATACTACTAAAAGAATTTATATTTGCCGTATCGGCAGTTGGCACGAATGAAATAAAGGAGTGTTTCTTTTTTTATATTCTTTTCTTTGCACTGATTCAAGGATCTAAATTTATACTCATATATTAAAATTACCTCTCTAGTCTTATTGCTAATCTGAACAAGAGCTTGTTGTATTTATGATATTTCGATTTAGGATCAGACATAGCATGATTTATTTTCAGCTAGGAGTTCATTGAGCTTCTACCTTCCTAGAGAGCTCTATAGCAAACAGCGTTATCGATGAATATTCCGGAAACTACACCAATTTCTCGTAGAATTTTCAAAGCCTATTCTGCGTTTTCGTATCACTATTGTGAATTTCTTTTGTTACGTGGCCTCTGAAAATATGGATTATGACATCCTGTGATTTTTCGAAGTAAGCGTAGTTCGAGGTTAGCGGAAATGTAAATAAAGATGAATTGTGTTGTTGAAACATGGAACGGAAAATAGCACCGGCTAGCCGTGAGTGGTGCCCCAGAGTGGCGCTGCACTATTTAAGCTTCTCGAAGGATGGGTTCAGACTGTTGAGACTCATCCAATGAACATCAAGAGTGTAGATTGAATGGATTTGAATAAGGAGTAGCAGTTGCTAAGAACTGAGAAATATTTTGAAATAAACTGTAATAACGCCTTTTCTTCACATGCACAATATATGTATAGTGCATTCAACGGAAAAAATCACTTGAAAACTTTATATTCATCTTATTGAAATGAGAGCTGAATGAAATAACCAAGGTTTTCTGCTGGAGTGTTTCCTTATATGTACTCATTCAAATGTTGATATGTATAGGGATATGTTCAAATTATCTATCTAGTCCAACAGCTACTTTAAGTAAGAGCTTCTTTCAAGTATGGTAGTTCGATTACAGATAAGGCCTAATATGATTGATTTTAAGCTAATGATTCATCTAAACCCATCTGTTGTTAGCAGACGCTTTATTAAACAATACTGTTAGCTGATACGTGAGCAAGGGAATGAAAATTCGTAGAATTTTCAAAGGGTATAGCACGTTTTTACAAGATTGTTGTGAATGTGTTTTGAATCATTATCTCTGAGAAAGCTGAAAATAGGCTGTTTTTTCGGACACATATAGATATCGGCGGCATATTGTAGTTCTATTAATTTCTGTTGAGTGGTTGTGGATATCGCTGAGGGTATGTGTCTGGGTGCGAGGTGTGAATGTGAGTGTGCGTATCGATGTGGCTGTCAGTATTAGTATAAAGAAGACTTCCATACCCACAGCCACACCCGCATATAGCCACATCCACACTCAGCAAAACTATATAGCAGCTAATCATTCAATCGAGGGTAAAGCGAATCATGCCCAGGCGCGTTACTTGTGAATGTTAAGGTGGATAAATATCTAGAGTATTTGTTTCCTGTTTTTTTAGAAGCTGAGCTATAATCTAAAGCTATTAAACAAAATCTATTATCCGTTTCAAAATAGAATGTCCGTCCCTATTTTTTTACTAACTAAAGTCAAGAACNTTATCCTTTTAAATGAAGCAACACCTGAACCAACGCAACTTATTGATTGTTTATTAAAGGATACAAATCTTATTCAGGGTTCTGGTCAACATCAACATAGTAGTCATGAAACATCAATTAGTCTTAAATATTTATCGAAAATCATTGAATCTATTCATCGATATTTCGAACGTCAAAATGCAAATATTTCAACATTAATGATTGATTTACAACAATGGATTCTTTCAATATTAAAGACATCGACTCAATCATGTATTAATGAAATAAAATATCTTTTCGAATATTTAAATAAAACAACATGTCAATTATCTTTAGCAATGAAACAATTTCTTTTTGATGAATTAACTAATTTATTTCTTGAACGTAAACAACAAAATGAATTACGACAGAAAAAAAACGAATTAGATCCATGGGATCGTATGAATATATTATTAATAACAATTGTTGAATGTGCATTAAAAAAAGATCAAATACAAAATTATAAAATACCCTCTCATCCATCAATAGTTCCTCTCGTTGATCGACGACAATCACAATGCACATTATTCGATTTATTATTTTTCTATCTTAGACGATATATGAACGATTACGTTATTACTGTTGAATTTCTTCATAAAGGATTAATGTTAGAGTCACCTGTATTTTCAAATAAAAGGATGGAAAATGTTGTACGTGAACTTTTCAAACAATTAAGAGATTATTTTCTTCTACGACTTACTGGTTTATTTCTATGTCAAACAGATGTAAAAAATAATCAAAAGAAAAATTTCGATGGATGTTTATCAGAAGTTATTAGAAAATATTTACCGTTTGATAAAAATCAAACAGAATTCACTCAAAATCTTCATCTATTTCTAGCAACAATTATTTCAAAACGATCATGGAATTATTTGTTGGATTTATTAAAATCTAATCATGTTCTACATCTAAATACTCAATGGGCATCAAGCTTACAGTGTGCACTTGAATCAAAAGATATAATTCAACGTAATATATGCCTTGAATTTTGTCAACAAATACAATTTACACTATCTTCAAAAAATACTTCATCAGTTTTTCCGAAGCTTCATCAACCGTATCAAGAATTAAGTCAACATTTTGATACATGTGTTAAGAATAATAATGAACAACAACGATGGAAACCATTTTCAAATTGGATGATATCGCAACTCACATCTAATTCTCCTGAAATTCAACCAAATGAAATGAAAGCAATGCTTCTATTGAAAATCTACTATGATTACTATTGTAATGATAAATTAGAATTATTGGGAGATCTATTGACAACAATTACAAATACATTACAATTGATCAATCCTGAATTACAAGTATTTCGGGCTTTTCTTCAACCGTTACAATACATGATTGGATATCCGCAAGCAAATATTCTTGGTGAAGATAATTTTCTCAATAGCCTATTTCGAGTGGATTGTAAAGATGACGATGAACTTTGCATGCGTCATACACTAGTCAACCTAATGGCTATGATTTTAATAGGTGGAAAACAAAGTTTTCTCTGGACATTTGCATTTGAACCATTAAAATTGCAGAATACATTTGGTAAGTAATTTTCAGGAAATCAAAAAAAGAAAATTTTCTGTGACAGAACATTTTCTTTAAAGAGTTCTTTGAGAAACATTTTAATTTTAAGAATAATTGTGATTCTCAATAGGTTTTGGATCAACAGCACATCATATTATTACGGCTACCGGTGTTCATTACGATTGTGGTTGTGTAATCAATTATGATGGTGCTCTTGTACAATTCACAAATAGAGCACATCCAAATCCATTGAATGTTCCAGCAGTTTATGTTGTCTATTTCTCGACATTTGGTGCTTTAGTAGGTTTTTTTTTTTTTTTTTTTTTTGAAGATAATTACTTATCATATTTCTGGAATTTATTGTATTTTTGTTAGGCTTGGCATTTGTTATTATTCAATGAATCCGTTGAAAATTTGTATGGTCCTATTTTAGCAAAACATGCTATTGATTATAGTGGAAATGATGGAAAAATGGTTGGCGGAAATCTTCGAGCAAAAGTCTGTCATTTTGTTCGTGCTAGAATTTTGTCAACATTTCACTTTTTATCAATTCGTTCAAATCAAGACGAAGCATGTATCCTACTTAATCGTTGCTTTGAACAAATGGCTTTTCTCACATGTGATCAACGACAACATTCATGGATTAAACCTTTTTATACAACATTAGTCGATGTACTGAAAGCTGAACAAGAATATCAAAATCAAATATTCTATCCTATTTATCAAAAACTAGCTGAATACAAAACATATGTGAATAGTTTACAATTAGAATCACAACTTCAAACTAATCTACAGGATTATATAATTCGTATGCCTATGATCATTCATTTTCTTCATTTCAAAACTGAATTAGGCAATCCAAGTCATTCAAAAATGCCACTCAATATTTTACGTAATCTCCTCAATTCAACAGATTTTCTTAAAATGACAAAAATTATTTATGATTTAAGTCAATTTTATATTCTATTGCATTACACATATGCACAACTAATTGAACGTGATGAATTCACAGCAATAACATTACGAGAATTATATGAACGAGGCCAGAAGCGTTTCAGTACGATCTATAACTTTGATAATCGAAATGAAAATAATAATCATATGTTAATCATTGAAAATGGTATTAAAGCTGTTAATATTTATCATAAATTTACCGATGGTCTTATACAACCGGGTGCTTGTGATGAAACTCAACGATTCTTCATCATTGGACATGATACACTAGTGTCCTATTTGGTCACAACAGGAAATAATGATGAAGGAGATATTATAATGCGAATAATCAGGTAGATTTATTCATTAAAATACTCTTTTTCAGTCAATTTTTAATCGAATTTTAAAAGAATTCGAGGAGATCCAAAATTTTTTCTAAACATTTTGAAAATATTTAATTGTTTCAACATCATGCAATTCCTAGAAAAGAAATGCTTTCATATCAATTAGTTGATCGAAGACGCGTGTACGAAAACGATAAGGCTATGATTGTGATTGTGATTTCTTTCTATGACGGAATACACACCTACATCCTGAAGCACTCAGTATTAAGCTTCTGATGTTTATGTTTTTCGCGAACTCGAAAGCTCGATGAGTGTCGAAGGATCTAAAAGTGTTTGAGGAGTCGAACATGAATGTCCAATTGGATACAGTTTTCGAGTGTTCGGAATTCGATGACTGTCGAAGGGCTCGAAATTGGAACAGAATGAATAAAAAATATATATTTCAAGTTTTTGAGCGCTCATTGCACTCATCAAATGCTTTCAAAGTAGTCTACTTAGAAAGGAGCTAAACCTTGTCGAGACTCGATCTAGTTATGTCATCAAATTCAATGTTGAATTTCATAGTCAAAATAGACAAAGCTTTTTTTTATTCTAGGGTTCTTGTCGATTATCATAATAGCTTGTTGATTTCGATTGAGAATGAAATGGATAGTGAAAATTATAATGGTCATCATGCATTAAAGACATTAGTAAAAGAAATGGTATCAAAAGAAATATCTGTTCTACAAATTGGACGTGATAATCATGGTATTATAACATTAAACGATAACGATTGTTATTGGATCGAAAAACTCTCACAAGCTAGTCTAAAATGTGACGAAGAATATTTTCCAACAGCCAGTACTCAACTTGATTTTGACTTTCTTTATGTTCAATCTTATATTATTCTAACATATCTTCTTCACTGTCGTATTAACTATCGACAAATTGATCAAAAGTACCAATGTTATATACGACGAAAAGCGATCGATGGAACAACAACTTCCGATATTGATAAAATTGAACTCGATGACATTTATTCGGTCTTACTTAATCATGATCAACTTGAAACTGAATGGAGTTATTTGAAAGAGATGCCATTGGACAAACTTTATGAAGGTCGAAATCTTCTCAGACAAATTACTGTAACATTGCAGCATTATTCAGATGATTTATCTCAAAAAAGTCTTTATGAATTCGTTCGAATGATCGATAATGAGAATAATTTGCTTGAACAATTAAAACAATGTGAAATAAAAAATTTTCAATTATGTTATATTGCTAATATACGTGATTTATATGAAAAATCCATGAATGATTTTCAATATTTGTTCACCGATGTATCACATTTACTTCGAGTTCCTCTCGATACAGGATTAAGTTTTGAATTAAATCAAATGTTAAAAACAGGACTAATTGATATTGAATATAAAGATCAAGTCGATAAATTACAAGCAGGAATACAAATGATTACAGATCTTTTGAATGTATTGCAGAAAAATGAAGCGATTCTTCTACATCAATCAACACAATCACTTAAAGAAACATGCGAAATTTTAATGATTGAAAATTCAATTCTGTCACTATTACCGGAGGCAATCAAATGTGAAAATTATGTTCCAGTTAATATTCAATTAATTCAAGTACGATCTATTTTGCAAGAGCGAACAATCACAATTTCAGAAATAGAAACAAACATATGGAATGAACATTTTGATACTGATTTCAATCAACAACAAAACGAAAATCGTTTTCATCAATATATTAATGCAACATATATGACCACAGAAAACCCTGACATAACTCCAGATAATCCTGATGAACCTTATCAATATCCGCCTGAGTCACCGATATCTGAAAATGGTATTGAACCCGACCCAGAGCCAGAGCCAATAGTTAGTGATGACGACGACATATTTCCAGAACCAATACCCAGCGATGGCATCATTGACATACCTGATGATCCTCATCAGGAAAAAAAGTCTCCATCCATTTCGATCAGATCCGTTCCTTTAACATCGTCGGTGATTGCACAAAATATACACGAACAGCAAGAACAAGTCGAAGAATCACTCTCCAAACCGCGAAAATTTGCTATTCATTTTCCTGATGGCGAGTCAACAACTCACTTGTGGAGAGCTGAAAGATTGTACGAACAACTCAATAGAATATTTGATGAGAAGGGATACGACTTGAACAGTTTTGTCGTTGTGGACAACAATCAAATATTCATTGATTTTATAAACAATAACCGACTACCACGTCGATTGACACTTCAATATCATATTATTAAGAAGGATTTGTTGATTCCAATTCATTTTTATTATAAAAATAATTCATTCAAATATTTGGTAACATCAAATTGTGAAATTGCAAATATCGTTGATCATTTTGTTGGTGAAAATAATCTTCGACCGACGTCATCTGATGTATATCTTTGTTTCTTTGATGAATTGGGAAAAATTATTGAAAGCGGAAAAATAGAAGATATTCTTAAAGTCAACAATAATTTAGCGCCTTTTCATGTGACTGTCGAAGAAATGACAAGTAGTACAAATACACTATGTGAAATCACTATTCAATGGTTAAAAGGTAAATATATGTCAGCGTCCAATCTTAGATTGACCTAGGGAAGTCGTAGATACGAGAATTGATGCATTGAACGTTGATATTTTTTAAATAGATTTTGGATTCGAATTCTTGTTGGTAAACTTTGTTCAAACAGTACCATTTCAGGTATTACAACTGCTAATGAAAAACCTAAGTTCGGACTCAAGCACCTATCAATAATCTTTCACAGAACAGCAGCTTTTAAGAAAAATCGTTCATACGTATTAGAGTCTAAACTTAGTTTCTTCCATGATGATGTTAATATATGAAATAGTATTGTTTCAATAAAGTTCAACAAGAAGGATTCGAGTAGAAAATCTATCTAGAAACTAATAGAGATTTTAACGAAAACTTCTTATCGTATTAAACATTGGATCCAGTCATTCTCGTATCTGAGACTTGTCTAGGTCAATCTGAGATTGGACGCGATCTAGGAATCGGGGCTGACACACATTGGATATCACTTTACAAAAAATGACGCACTTCAATATACTTAAAATGAGTTTAAGAAAAAATTAGTCAGACATATCATCAGAAAGAAAAGTTAGTTTGAAAAATAATGCTATTTAGAATTAGCTTTTGATGAGTCGAGTTCATTCTAGACCGATTAAATCGATAGCCAGAGCCCAATTCGGAAAATAACTAATGCCAAATGAACTTTTCGACAGCAGTGGAACTCAGACTTTCCTTCGAAAAACAGAGCCACTTGCCCGTCCTGTTTTTCATTGAGACATATGCACGCACCAGGGTTCAAAACGGGTCACTTTTTCATAGTTCAGTCCGCCAATGTATTTAGAAACAAACAATCGGTATTATGTTAAGTTTGATTAACCCTGCTTTTCGGTAGTGAAATAAAATCAATATGACATAAGTTGAATTGCTTGTTGAATCAAACAAAACAAAAAATTTTTTTTTGTGGAAAATGTACCATATTTCTGAGTGAAAATATATTTTTCGCTTTAGACCATCCAGTGAGTTAGAACGCAGTCCAAAATAGTTTGTGAACGGGAAAAAAATGTTTTTGACACCTAAATTTTGAAGATGAAGCTTCAAACTTTAGATATCAAGATTTTTTTTTCGACTTGCTCATAGGCTATTCTCTGTTGCATGCTAACTCACTGTATGGTCAAAATCGATAAAAATTTCGCTTGGGAGAATAGCACAAGTACTATAGAATTGCCCCTTTTTAAGATAAAGTGTTATTTGCAGCTTCTGCTTACGACAATAGTTTATTTTCAACCTATTTTTTCTGTCAATCACTTTCTTACGTTCATTAACGTAATTTATGCACTAGAGAGCATTATGTGTGGACGATAAACTACGACTGCATTAAGCAATCACCATGATATATCATGTTAAGCGTACCTGAAATTCACATACTTTTTCTATCGTAAAACATTTTTGATAATTTCTGGCACTTAAAACAGACCTATATTGTGATAAAAAGTAGAAAAAAGGATAGGAGCGTCGGGCCGACAGCATGGTCCGTTTGAAGATCTAGTATACTCTTTTTATAACTTAACATGTAATAGCATCGTATTTTCTTATACAAGAGTTCTAAAATATAGTGAATGCATTCGTTACCTATTGACAGTGATAAGCAACAATTAAAATTGTGAAATAGTCTATTTGAAAATTCGATCAAATCATTTTAAAACATGCTATAATGTTCAACATGTCTGTTATTCAATGAAGAAAAGTGCAGACATCTCGCTCATCACATACTCTGAGAAAAATCGAAGTCTTTTGTATTTTGAATATTGTCATATAACTATTTGTTATTGATATCTTTTAGCTGAAGGCAGAAACGCACTATTTCATCCCAATACGAAATGGCAACAAATTCATTTATGGTTGAAAAGTCATACGCAAATCATGGATTCTTCCGTTGGTGAATATACTTATTGGCATAGAGATCAAAAATCTATTATTGATAAAAATCATACGATTTCTTCAACAATAATGGAGACTATACCAACGATAATCGATTGCATTAGTCAAGATGCTATGATCAAAGTTATTTTATCCTATGACACTATCAAAGAAACAGTTTTTACATTAAAATCTTTGCCAATTTGTGATCTTCTGAAAAATGAAAGTTTATTGAAACCATTAGAATTGGATATTTCTCCTCGTGATTGTGTCCGTGTTCTGGAAGACAAAAATAATCAGATACTGTCAAAAGAGGATATGCAACAATCTGTTAATTTTTATTCTGTTAGTGATGATCAATCAATTCATTTTCGAATATGTTTGTTGATTGAAATATCAACATATGATAAAACTCTGGAAATGCAAATACCAATATCAGATAGAAATGCAACTATTGGACATCTTCTTCGATTACCAGAAATAGAACATGATTCATACAAATATTTGGCCTCAAGTCAAACACAACAAGTGATGTCTGAAAACCAAAAACTTTCAGATTTGAATGAAACCACATTTATTCTTGTCACAGAAAATGAAACATGTTGTGTTTCGATTGAAACATTAAATGAATCACTCTCTGTGACATCTGTCACAAGAAATATGGCACATCAACAATTTACAATCTATGCAACACTTGCTGCTGTCTACAAACAGAACAACATTGACCCCGAACAGCAACATCTTTTATATTGGAATGATTTTGTTCCATCGATAAAAACTCAACTAAACACTTTACAAGAAAATTCACTTGTCCGATTTACATTGATTAATGGCAATTTACCAATTGGTGTGCAAGTGTCGACAATTTTAAATGACGAACAATATGCAATAGAGTTTCATTGTAAACCTGAAATCAAAATTGAACGTCTATGTCAGATTGCATGTAAATTGTTAAATGTGAAGAATGAATTTTATCAATTGAAGATGGATGATTGTATTTTGGATGATAATGAAATATCACTGAATGAGATTGTTTCAGATTCACCCGATATTCAATTACATTTAATTTGCACGGCTGTTATGAGAAGTTTAATAAAATATGAAGATCAGACAATCACATTACCGTGTAATCAAGAAACACTTGTTTCAACAATATTTGATGAAGCTTGTTCAATATTTTGTATTACAAAAGAACATACTCAAGTCTACGAATTATATGCATTGGGTGCTGATCAAACACAAATTGAATTGGATATGACCATCGATGATATATGTGACTTGTTTGTTGAAAAACAAACAACATTACCATTGTTAATAACAAAGAAAAAAATACTGAAGAAACAGTCTAAATAATAATGAACTATTCTTTTCTTTAATTGAATATATCAACTAATGATTTTGTATGCGTTTGAATTTTAATTAAGTCGTGAAATATTTTTTATTAATAAACTGTTCTATAAAACTCCTATAAGATAGGAAAAAATAATGATCAAATGCATAATCCATGACAATGAAGTGTGGTAGATCAACCGAATTCCGATACTTTAATTTTAGACTTGACCAATTTTTTTTTTCGAAATTTAATGTTATCTAGATGGTACTATGTATAAGTATTCCAATGAACTAGTGACAAGCACAATGATGTTTTATACGCTATTACATGATAAAAATATAAAGCACGCTGCGTTAAACAGAGTAACTGTGGATATGGGTGGGCATTGGAGATGTAAGTCTTCTGTGTAGTCACACCTATACTGATGTTATGATTAAAATTTATACATGAAGATGGTATTTGATTTCAATGCGATAAAAAAATACCTTTACTCTTGAAAAATTATGGTAAAATCGAAATTAATTTGGATAAAATAAATAATTGAATTGATCTTTTTAATGTTTCCAGATGAAATAAATAATTGATCTAGAGCGTTTTTTCATTCTGATGAAAGAACGGGGGACCCTTTGTACACAAAACGGCCCTAAATAAAACTAACCTCGAAACATATCTTGATTTTCAATTTCGCGCTTTCCGTTGTGAGACTAAACTACTCTCGACACATCCAGACCATTTTTACAGGACTTATAAGTGTATCCGAAGAGCCTTCATGGACGTCTGGCAACACTAGATTTCTGCTGGAAAGAGTATAGTACCACTCATCTGATCACAACCATAATCGACTGCAATAGCGTCATTTCTTTTCGTGCAGATAGAGCTCTTCGAGAGCTATAAAATGATAATAAAAGATGAAGTGAAATTTTCTGTACTCGAAAATTTTCAAATAGCACACTATCAAAAGTCTATGGAAGAACCAATGACTGGCATAGTATGGTTCATATGATCTCGACTATCCATCATAAAACCGGCGCCATTTCTTCACGCAAAAACAGTCTATGGAGAGCTTGAAAATGCACTGATGCAAGCTAGTAAGTAGGTTTCCCTTCAAAAGGTTTCAAAAGTTTAGACGGAATCTGGTAGTTTTTCTGTAACGATAGCGGATGTCTCGGATTGTATCGAAATGATTATTGTAAAGATATGGGATGTATATGTTGGTTCAGAAAATGGATATGTTCCGTAAAAAAGAAGGCATTTCAAACCGTAGGAAGTGGTATATTTTAGTGTTGCTATTGGGTTTCGTATGTATTCAACGTTAGTTATGGTTATTTCTCCAGAAAGTTAAAACGAGAGATAAAAGTGGTAGAACAAAGATATGGTTAGTGTGGTCAGTTAAATTCAGTCGAAGAGAAGACATTTTCGAGGGGAAGCATAGGAGGAGAGGACATCTGAGAAAGAGTGAAATATATGAAACGAAGAGATTTCAGAGAGATATTCGAAGACAGCATATTTCACACAGAGAGATATTTGGAAAGAAGATATTGAATAGGGAGAGAGATTTGGAGGGTTTGTTTTAGAGATAGAGAGAATATAAGATGTGTGCGCTACGTTGATTATTCTTTCATTTCACACAAAAGGAATTGGAAGAAGTTTTGTGTCTGCATCTGTTGTGGTGATCGCCTGAATGCAAGCAGTCGACGCCCTCTGAACAGAAATTGTATTCGACTTTTTGTTGCCACTCGTTTGTTTCCAACGTCTCTGTCGACTGATGGCTATATTTGTACTAAGTGTCGTGCAATGTATAATAAGTGGACAGCTCTGTCACAATTTTGCGATTTGCTGAAAACGATCGGCAATAACCAGCAAACAACAGCTACAGCTACTGGCAACATCAGCGACGAAGATGAAGAGGATGAAGAGTGTATGGATAACGAAAATGGCACTGACCGATCGACTGATGACGACTCTGCTGGTGTTCAGATGGTGGATGCATCATCCAGTGATGTCGTATCAGTCGATGTTTCAGCTGTCAGCGATGATCAAGTAGAAGATGAAGAAATGACTTCGGATGAATATAGTGAAGTTCAGCTCGATATATCTTATATTTATTTGGTCTTACTTTTCAGATGGATTCAAATGCCTCAGATAAAATACAGATGAACAAGGTATCGAAGCTCCAATTGAAGTTGCTGTCTTTTCGAGAAGGTAGATGTTTAGGATACAGACAATTTGACCCCTATTTGTTTTATAGTCAATGTTGTGTTTGTAAAGAACAAATTGTGCCTCCAGTGGTGACTATTCGTGAAGAAGATCGCACTGATAGGTTCATCCGACGCCCCATCGAAATACCTGCAGGATCCCTATGGTGCAAGATACATACTGTCCATAAACGTCTGTTGGGGTGTGAGTGTAGGTGTCTGTCATTCCCTTCATCTACGCTCACACTCACACCCACACCCCTTTAAGTTTTTTGCTCGATAAAGTGACTTTTGAAGTTTCTTATATTTACTTGTGGCGTACTATGTAAAAATGACAATATGAATATTGAATTCTGTGCCTTATTGATTGAAATAGTCTAAAACAAACTAAAACAATTGTTATTGCCTCTCTGCATTCTATATAGAACATGCTAAAATAGAAGCGATTTTCTTTATTCATTGCAGAGCATGTCTGTCATAAATAAACCGATCAGTATTTATTCTATTGTAGTAAATTGTATTGTTCAGTATTTTTAATAAATTTTAAATGAAAAAATAAGATATAATTATTATGTAGTTTTTCGTATTATCCTACAGAATAAATTGTGTAAAGAGTGTAGATGTGAAGAAAACCTGACATACCCACAACCACATCCTTATGAGAGATCGTGGATCGTTTGGACCAGTCTCTATTTAGTTATACGACGCACTTCGTCAAGACGACCAATCTTCATGAATTGCCAGTCGTTTCAGACTAGACCAAGTGTTAGTACGACTATTCCAGACTAGTCATACTAGGCGTCCTCTATCAATTTTTCTCGCCTGGGTAATGTTTTTTCTGAAATCGAAAACAGTAATTTTTGTATTCATGTAAAAAAATAGTCGATCAAGTTTGGTAAATGGGGGGAGCTATATGAATTTACTTTTTCGCCGAACTTTTGGAATACTCTGTATAGTCGACTAGGGGCAGTCAGAATCAGTGTTTAAGAAAATCGATTTATTTCAACTATAACTCAACTATTTTACATGGGATAAGAAAGATTTTTTTTATCAGCAGATACTTCAAAATGTTTTCTACCGAACCATACAAAAATCTAAAGAAAAACTTAATTTTTTTATAGAGCTTTTGCAAAAATGGCGACAGCCCTAAAGAGATGATCCGAATTACACCAGATGGGGTAATCCAGATCACTCCAGCGAAACCAATTGGACCCAACTTTCTCATCTTATTATTAACTGATAATTAATTAAAATTAAATTAAATATATACCATTTTATAGCCCAAAGTCTTTTATATGGGTCCTGAAAAGATCCCGTCGATTGATTGAACCATCGAAATAAAATTCTCATCACAATGAGTCCTATTGAGAAGAATTTTTTTTTCTTGTTCTTCTGGTGTAATTTGGATCATTCTGGCAATTTTAGCTGAAGAAAACTTGCAAACTTCTAGTAGTTTTCGAGTTGGCTTTCAAGATTTGTGTCTGACACAAAAAATGTTCGTCTCACTTTGCTCTATCACTCCATGTAAGAGGAGAAAAAAAAATAGCTGATTTAACCAATTATCGTTGAAAATAAGAAAATATGAAAGAAAACCTTTTTCAACTTACCCTTTTGATCTTTAAATTGCTATTTCATTTTTACAAGACATCTCACAAAAAAAAGTTTTGACTTTTGTAAAACAAAAATGTTGGCGTTACATTATTCAATTTTTGAAGCACAAAACAAAATTATAGCATAACAGTAAGAGTTCACAGAAAAGAGAAAGAATATTCAGAGTCCCTTAGTGTGATGATGTGTGTGTTGATCCTCGCTCCATTCAAAGCCGAACCCACATCCTATACGCCTGCAGAGGAATTATCCCACCAGCTGTCATTCTCATGTAGCCTAGAATTCAAGGAGGGAGTGGTTTTAACTAGTAGTATAATATTCAATTATAGTTTATATATAAATTCAAAGTTGAGTGTTTGGAAATTAAAATATCGGTGTAAACTAAAGATGTCACTGACAATACACTTTATTTTTTTTACTATTGATTGGATGCTGAAGAATCCATGCAACTCATGTTTTCTCAATCGATTGAAAAAAGTAAGGAAGAAAAATACCCAGCGGTATCCAAAATAAGTATGACACTGAAGCAATATGTACAAGACATCTGCTACTTCTTATGCTTAGAAAAACACTCAATAAGTTGTACACTTTTCAGAAGAAGATGTTGCAAACTTCAAATCTACCTGCAATGTTAAATTGGAGATTATATTTATATCAATTCGTGTATCAGTTGCTGAAATCATACGCATATTTACCATTGTAAGTATAAATCTTTATTTTTCATAGAAGAAAAAACAATATGAAGGTCTTTTTTGTATTTTTCAGATTGTAAAAAAGCCTTGGTTTTTGTACACTTTGGTGGCGAAAAGAAAGTGTAAAATAACAATTTGCAATGCAGATTCTCGACATGCTTAGGGAAGATCTTGTCTTTATTTCGAGGATAATGCTGTATTATATCTTAATCTGTTATTTCAATTTGCTGATCGAAACTGAAACCTAATATTGAAAATACATAATTCTATGAAATTTCATCAAACGAATTATCGCCTATATAATACACAAATCAGTTTTCATAATTGTTCTCAAAGGATTTACCGTTCAGTTGGTCGTTAAAGAATTTCTTTAAAAAAGTCATTTTACGTCATTCGTATTTCTCTGGTTTTATTTTATTACAATTAGTAGTGTATTATGTTAAACATAGATGGTTTCATTAAGATACTTTCATCATTTTAATGAATTGATAAACTTTTTTATTCAATGGATGCATGAAATATAATTCATCTCTCAAACACGAATTAAATTGTTTTTCAGCTAAGCATTTTCATTCAACATTAACTTCTCTAGTTAAGACCGTGTGAAATGGGTAAAACATATGAATGATGTTTCCACTTAGCACCACTCATATTGCTTAATCCAGTGCTAATTCGTCGAGTGAGTTTAGAACTAAATATATTTGAACTACAATGAAAGAATTATGGAATCATAAGTTCTCATATGAGATACTTTCTAACACTAGATAAAAAATATTTTCTATATGATTATAGATTCAAATCTTGTCTATAATTGAGAAACAGTGCAGAGTCCACCGCGGTATCATGCCTTTTGAGTTTCAACCTCATGAAGCGATTATAACAAAAGATGTTCATTGAGCACGTATCAATATCGATACTTCTTTCCAAATAAAGTATGCCATTCTGCAAATGAAAATAATTCATCATTGAATTTCTGTGTACAGAAAAAGAATAATATCAGTTCAATGAAATGCAATCTATGCGTGATTTATTATATGGTTTAAAATTAACCCATTATTAGTGCGGTAGAATGATTTATTTCTTTGATGACATTTTCCATTCGAACATTGTTTGAATGATGTAACAATTACACCAAGTTTATAAAGAGTATGATTAAAGTTAATTGAAGTTCAAAATCAAATGGTATCCAATATGAAATTTCACACAACTGAATCACAGTGAACACATTTGTTTTAAACATTTATCAATGTAAATATATACAAGAGGGTTGTTATTGAAAAATAGAATTAATAGAGATACAAAATTTTCAACTATGATTTATTTTTGTAAATCATAGATTGTTTTGAAGAAATTTGCAATATTTACTACCTAATAACACAATCAAAATTCATCTTTTTCAACATTTTCATTTTTATTCACTTCGATATTCTTTCTCAATGATAATTTTATTGTATAGTGTTACAGTGTGTTCTTTTAGAACATCCACCTCGATCATATCTATTCTCTTTTCTTTGTTATTTTCGTTTCTGTCTTTTCGTTTCTTTTATTTCTTTCCTTTGCCCTTGATTCACCTCTGTATTCTTCTATATTTTGTCTTTAGTTTTCATGTGCGTATATAAACACTTGTTTTGTAAAAGAATAAACAGAGAGAATAAACCACACACACACACGTTAACTGTGTTCGTCGCTCTTCGTGAGCGCGAACGCTAACATATAGGCACATTGATGAACTTATTGTTGATATGGTAATACATTTATTAAAAGCTGAGGGTTGAATGTCTTTGTTAAACGTAGAAGAATTTCGTTTTTACAGTAAACGTTGACAAGTTCTGTGCTAATTAGGATTTGAGAATGACACTTCGAAGTATACAGAAAAACTTTTGTATGTTAATGAAACTCTATGCTCGCAACATACGAAACAAAATGGGATTACTCAGCTCCTATCTGAAGACCTGCTCAAAGAGTTCTTTCACACATTTGATCTCAGCAAAGAGCTAGTCGTCTCATATTTCTGAGTTAAATCATATTCTTAAGGTCGAACAGATGTTACCAAAATTAAAAAGATCCATAAAAATACGAATAGTTGATAGAGACAGACTAAGCCACCTGATGAAGTCCATTTAGCTAGATGGAAACAAGTCATGGTAGCTTCTACACATCCACACTTCAACTACTACGAATTGTTTCTCAAGAAGTTTATTGGATAAAGATTTTCTATCCAACAACAAGATTAATCTTATCTATACATTATTCTTAAAGAAAATAAATAAAAATTCAATTGCAAATGTTAACATTGAAATTTTCTATTTCAAATAACTATAGATAAGAACCTATAAAATGGTTGACACCTGTTTCTCAGTACAATAACGAAAGAAGACAGAACAAGTTGAAAATGAGTATAAGTTTAACGCTGTTTCTTGGCACTAATGTTTTTGAGGATTTTGTCTTCTGATTATGTTTGCAAGTTAAATATAGAATAGAATCTGAACTTATATTTTTCTTGAGCATGACATACAGTTTTTTATATTGACTAACACTAGTTTTCATCATTCCTACAACGAATTGTAGACAAAAATAATGACTTATGATGCCTGTAAATCTTTTAGAAGAACTATATTATTTGTGTATATCTTCATTTGAATGCTTTTATTTCAATCATCAAAAACATAAAGTTCTACAAAGTCTTGGAAAATTTGATAACTATGAAATCGTCGAAAAGAAATAACAACAATAATACATGATTCTTGGTTTGTTTTTTCAAAATTTTCTATTTCTATATTTAATAAGATCATTTGGTACTTGATATGGCGACTGCAGAAAGAAATGATCCAGTACAGTTGGTTCGACGTATAACCGATGTTGCTCGTGAAACACATCAATATCTTTTACCAATTTATGATTATGAAAAATTGCCACTTGTTCCACTCGATATAGCTATTGAAGAACTTGTTGAATTTCCACCAAACATCCAAAGTTTTGCTTATGTAGCTAAGCAACGATGTGAAGAACCTGCTGATGGACTTACACAAGATGAGTCAGCTGCCATAATGCTTTATTCTATGGGATGGGAGCCACTTGATGAATGTCTTTATTTCGCGTTGAATAACACATTACGATCACTGGATCGACGAAAATTGAAGTCTTGGTTACTCTATTTGAGACTTTTTCTCAATGGACTGTTTCGTCTTCCATCAATTACACGACCTGTTTATCGTGGTGTCAAATTAAATTTAAGCAAATCATATATTATGGAAAAAACAGTTGTATGGTGGGGATTTTCATCATGCACTACTTCAGTAAATGTTTTACAATCAGAAGAATTTTCGGATAAGACAGGAACTACTTAGAACAATGTTTACTATCGAATGTGAATCTGGAAAATATATTCGAAATCATTTTTTTTTCATCGGAAGATGAAATTCTTTTGCTTGCTGCTACTCAATTTAAGGTAATTGGTACTCTTGATCAAGGTGATCTTCATGTAATTCAACTAAAAGAAACTCAACTACCTCATCCACTGTTACAGCCGGTATCAATCGTTACTGTCTCAAACAATTAATCTTCTACTGGTAAGATCACATAAAAAAGTGACATGTAACTTGTAGTACAAGAATTAAAGTATAACATTAATTTAATTCAAATCATTAGATAAAACTTATTAATAATTAGGAAATTATTTTTTCAATAAGTCACATATGAACATCACCTAAAGTGTGAGCTAGAAGCTCTATCTAAACTTATATGGCAGATCTTTCCAAGTAGAAACGATATTGATGGCAGTATTGTTATGAAGAATAAGTTTGATGAATTGTCTTGATCAAAATGATTGTATAATTGATATCATTAAGTTATTCAATGAGAAAGATTTGTTACATGCGAATATCACACATCAGTTACCTTTGAACGTTAAAATAGTTGTTTGTAAATGCATTTGTTTTTATGCTATATGAGCATTAGAATATTACAGTTTGATCCGATTTATATCGGGTTCCAGAAAAATGAACGCTTTAAGACTGCATAGTCTTTCACAAAAGTAAAACGAGGGAACGTGGATCATATTTAAGAGCATAGAATTTAATAAATGTGAATCACAATGTTCATTATAAAGAATCTTTCTTGTTTATGCTCGAAAATCCATAGTGAGTTGTGATTTTAACTGAAATAAATGTCTTCAAGTTAGTTATACTTCTTAGTTTCTTTATCCAATTAGTGTAGTTGAAGCATCATGTTGTTGTTATGAAGAATATGTTTTACTGCCTTTTCTTTTCTATAAAGATATGTCAACAACTAGTTTCGATACTAGAGAAGTATTTAACATACAAATCGAGAAAGAATTTCTATGCCATCCTTGATTGAATATTTATACTGTGATATATTTTTAGAGTCGAAGATCATTTTCATCAATGAATTCATATGAACTATTTATTTCTTTACTTTAGTGTCGACTTCATCAGCATCAAAAGTAACACATACAACACTAAAGTCAACAGTTGCTGCATCGAAGCTAACGACCTCAGTTCAAAATATAATATCGTCATTGATAAAACAGTCAGCGTCAGCTTCATCACCCCCTCAATACTGTAATCATGAACCTGAACGAATTATTGCTAATAAGAAAGATTGCGCAGAGTTGCATATATATTCGAAGAGTTCGACTGACCAAGATATGGAAATTGTGGCCTATTATACTCGACGAAATAACCAGGTAAAACAATATTTTTGTAATCTTTAAGAGCAAGAATAGAATAATATGGTAAACAGTTCTTATAATGTCACAACTTTGTGAACCCATCGAGTTTTAGTTATTGAGGAGACAATGAATCAACGAATCCTAGGTTTTTCTCTATTCAACTTTACCAAATAAATCATTTCTGCTTTGACTTAAGTAAAGATATGCTTGCTTGTATTTTTGCTCGTTGCACCGATAGAATACGTCTAATCTTTTTTTTTTGTACTAGTGGGTTCAAACATTCATTATTGTTCTGCGCAAGAAAATTTGAATTGAAATTCTCATCATAAAAATAATAGTGGTTAGACATGTATTGGTCATTGAAAATATTTATATATCTAAAATTATCCAAAACAATTTGAAGGACAATGCTTGGTCTTGGGAAAAAATTGGATCTATAGTATTGAAAACAAATTGGAAGATTTTGATTGTGAACATTACCGATAAAAACACAATGAATTGTAATTTTTATAGGATGACTTGAGATTCATAAAGAATGATTCAGAAGTTTTACATTCTCTGAAACAATTCTTGTTTTCCTTTTTAATATCGAAACCAAAGCATTCAACTCCAGAAATTAGTCGATAAATTTCTCTGTTCTTAGCTCTACTACTATATCTAAAGTGTACAATAATTATTTTCAAATCTAAATATATTCGTAAATGATTACAGTCTTTAAAAAACTTTTTTTCTATTCGAGTTTCTTCGTTTATTTTCAATCATACATTAAATTGACTGTACAAGTGTCGTTCTACTACATAATTGTTCTTGATCTTTCTATTCTACTCGACCTTCACTGTCCATCTTTTTTATTCCATATTTTACATAAAGAAGGCTACAAAATTAATCGAAGTTCAAAATAATCTCATAGATCTGTTGAAGAAGTCTAATTTTATGAATTGTTTTGATTTTCCATGTTCGGATGCTTTTTCTTCTTTTTTGAGAACATGAAATGGATTTCTTCTTCAGTATTACACCTCAAGATGTAAGAATTTTCATTAATCTTGCCATTGAATAAGATCATAACTTATGAGAGAAATCTATTTCCAGGGTTATAATTTTTCAGCATAACAGAAGCTCACTTTGTGACACATGAATACGAAATAAACATCGTAAACTATTGGAAGTATTAGCTCATTGTTTTTCGATGTTTGATTGTGGATTTCCTTATATGCATGATTTCTTCTCTATTGTACATGTTTTCTATCAATCAGTCAACGAGCTTCTTGTATGAACTGAAAAAAAAAATTACGCATACATATGTACTATCTAAAAAATATTCGAGAATTGCAGAACAGAAATAAGAAATGAAATACTATTAGCGTATTCGGTTTGTTCCTGCTAGGTGTCTATACACAAGTTGGAAGCGAAATAATATATTTTTTTTTATAACTTAACGGAAATAAGAGTAAAAATATCAGTTGAAAAATGAGACATATCATAAAACTGAACAATGGCAATTCAACATAACATATGATGAGAAAGTAATGGAATACATGTCGAATCTTATTTTTCTTCGATAGAAAAATGTTGAAAGAAAACTTTATTTACCAGAAAATAGAGAGAGTGTGGATGGGTGTGAGTGTGTACTGTTTACTCAGACCGACATCCACGCCCACACTCATTACTTTATTCATCAGATAGTGCAGAACCAGGAAAATCTTACAGTCAATCTATACTTTCTCAGACACAAATAAAGCAGTTCTGTAACTTATGAACTGATGAAATTCTCCCAACAGCACACGATAGAATGATCGCACTAGAGATCCACTTACAAAGTTTTCATTGTTGAAACTGATTATAAGTTTACTGTGCTTCTATTCTGTCAAAATGAAAAAGATTATTAATTTTCTCTAATTATTGAAAATGAAATGTTGAATTTAATGTACTTATCATTTACAATACGAACGAAAGTCCATTTCTGATGGAAAGGATTCAACAGTTTTGGATAGGCCTCATGCCATATAGACATTCAAAACCATTGATCTTATGCTCAATCAAATTGGTGAACAAGGAGCACAACATATTGCTTATACTTTACGAGATAATACTGTAAGATGAAATAGTTCTTTTTTTTCAATCTCAATCTCAAAATCATATTTCTTGTTCTTTTTACAGACACTTCTCACACTGAGTTTGATGAATAATTGTATAGATAGTGAAAAATATTAACTTATATGGGAATCATATTGGGTACGAAGGAATAAAATATTTAGCTGACGCATTGAGAAACAATCAGGTTGAGAAAAATGTTTTTGCATTTGCTTTTCTAAAATATGTGGCGGTTGCTAAAGACACTGACAAAATTGAATCTTGGATTTAATGAAATAGAAGAAAACGGAGAAAAGTATTTAGCTAACGCATTGCGAGATAATAAGGTAAGTAAGGTTGTATTTTCTTGCTTGTAATTTTTCCTGATTCTTTGCTCAATCAAACATTTTGATGGACTTGGGTTTTCCGTGTTTCTGGAACATGTCATATCAGTGAATGTTGGAACTTTTATAGGAGATAGATCCCGATCAGTATAGCTAAAGTTGTCATATTCTTATGTCTCATTTTTCTGATGGAAACTGTAGATATTCAAATTAAAGTTTATCTGTATATATTCCAAATCAACAATGCAAGCATAACCTTAGTAAAAAAGAAACATTGTTTATCAATCAAACAAATGCAATATATCAAAGGAAATATACTAGATTAGACATGGAAAACGAAGAGTTAAATTTCTCTAATGTTTTCCTTTGAAAGACGCTGAAGTCGCAAGAGTTGAACATAGTATGACTGCATAACTTTATTTTGAATATGAATGAAATTTTCGAAATCATTCAAGAATCTTAATAGGCACAAGCACACGAAAATATTTTATATCAGTTGTTTACTACAATTCAAATGTGACTTTTGTTCGATGGAGCTGCAGAAGCGGAGAAAAACATTTTATAATGATTAAAAATTCTAATTGAGAAAAAAACTTTCCGATAGTTGTGACAGAAAAGGAGACAATAAATTTTTGTCTCAATCTTCATTATAATTGAAAAAGAATTTTATTATAGAAGAAGCTAATAGGAAAGAAATATAGTGGGATGAATCCGTGGGATTTCTACCACTTTTAACTTTTCTTGAGGTAGAGAGCTGAAATTTTTAACACACACGTATCCAATAAAGATCTTTTATTTCTAAAAGCTTCAGTTCTCTAGGTAAAACTAGTGGTAAAACACATTGACAAGACGAAAATATATAAATTTTCGTACTCAAGTTTTTGAATATTCTTACTGTGAAACCATTGCAAAAATCGAGTACGAAGATTGTTGTATTTTGCCACTAACTTTACCTAGAGAGTTGACATTTTTAGAAATAAAAGATCTTGATTTGATGCATATGTTAAAAATTTCAGCTCTCTACGTCAAGAAAAAGTATGAAAAATATGATTAACAATTTATTATTGGATACCCTTTACTTTTGTGGAATTTTCCTAAAAAATCATGTGGTTCTCGACACTTTATATTTTCAATAAATTTTTAATTGTGATCTTAAACCGTTTTTGACGATGTTACGTCTAAATATACTATTAACATCGACAAAAAAAAGAACTTTTTTTCAAAAAGTGATAGAAATCCCATG